CAGGTTTCAGGAGCAAGTTAAACACTGTGTAGCTTTTCCTCATGTAAAATGCAGCTTCAGAGGCTTCTCCACCCCGACCAGAATATAGCTCTTTTCTTTCACTTAGTTTGGTGTGGTGATGTCAGGATTACCACACAGGAGTGGAAGTGTATGGAGTCATGCACATGTAATGACTGTGAGTAGTGACTGATTGTGGAGAAACTGAGAAATATTATTTTAAGTGCATTTATTCTTCTGGGGACATCACAGGCTGTTTGTCATCTGTTTTGTAAATGTATGAATATATTTTAAAATGTACTTCTTTGAACAAAAAAAGGAAAGAAATTTGGAGGTGTCTGTTATTTATAGGATATTAGGCATTGGTTTCACTGCTCTGGCCCACCTCCGATCAAATGCTAACAGTATTGACAAGGACACAAACAGAAGACAAATCTAGAGCAGAGTCAGTCAAGAAGGATAAGGAGAGAGCGACTATCTGTGGACACCACATGTAAAAAAATATTCCCTTTTTTTTTAGGGGTTGTCTTTCTTTTGCCTCTCCATTACACCTGCTGTCACTTTGATTTGCACCAAAGCAGCTGAAACTGATTCAGGGAAAAAAGTGGATATATTGACATTGGTATCAGTTATTGGTCAATTGAGTTGTCATCGGCAAAAAATCCAATATCATGAATCATGTTTTTTGTAAAAGGTAGAAGGAATAACTTAAAAAAAAATGAAATAAGGAAATTCACTGACACCAAAAGTAACTTCTGCCCAAACCTATAATTAGATAAGCATGTGCTGGGCGACAGAGGAAGGTGACAAACTTTTATTAAAATAAGAAACAGTAATATCCATCAATGAATTTAAGGGCATCATTAAGAATGTGGTGATAGAGACGTGTTTTTTTATTGAGGATTTATTGAGGATGTTTTATTTGTTGCATTTCAGTGTGTTTTGAAAAGAGATCTTCAATCTCAATGGGACTTTCTGGTTGAATGAAAGTAAATGAATTAAATACACAGATTTTTCTTGTTTTAATGTGTTTACTTTTTCATTTTTTACAAAACTTACATAATGTTGTGTTCATAAACAAATGCTTTCCTCTGAGCAAAGTCTTCATGCTACTTCTCGTTGCTGCACGTTAAGTCTGTGGCAACACTTGGGTCCTGCTCATTGTCGCTGCTGCTCTTTAATAAGTCTGTGGATGTCTCCACCTGTTCTGGGCAGGATGTGTACTCAGCCAAAGCGTCCATCCCGGCCAGGACGAGTGTGTCCTGCCGCTGAGCCCTGCGGCTGTAGCCCAGCCTCTTGAGGGTCCGCCGGGTGGTGGTGAGTGAGATGGGCTTCCTCTGCCCGCTGCTGTTGTACAGAGCCTGGATCTGCTCGGTCGTAGCGTGGTTGTTAGCCTCCACCACCTTCTCCATTGTCTTCTCCCCGCTGTCATCGACGAGGCGTTTCCTCCCGCAGGACCCCCGGTGGCTCGAGGTCTTCTGCTTCTCACACCATTCCCTGTAAACTCGAGACACTGCGGTCTTTGAGAAGCCCAGCCGGTTCACCGTCTCTGAGATGCTGCAGCCGGCGCGCCGCACTCCAACTATCATGCCCCGCTCAAACTCACTCAGGTCCCGAGACTTCCCCATGTGTCACCGCTCAGTCCGGTGGGGACTTCAAGGAGCACCTGATACTCGCTTTCTGCTGAAAACAAAACAAAGTCGTAAAATAATCGCTCTTCTTCTGTGGTTTTTGGCACATTAGACTCAAAGTAGGCTCTCTGTCGCCCCCTTCAGGTGGCTCCGTGATTTGTTCTTTGCCCATTTGTGCATAATAGGGTGATACTTAATCAACTAATTTTTATAATTCTTATTTTTATGCATTATTTATTTTTTAAATTATTTTTCTATTATTTTATGTGTCTCCAACCAGCCTATTTTATTTCATTTTGTTATTAATTTTACGCACATCCCCTACAAGATGTTATGTTTATTAACTCAGGTAAAATGGGACAAATAAGGGTCACCAAACATGTTGCATTGTTAGGACAAATGTGTTTTATATGAAAATAATTTTTACTCTGAGATAAGGGACTGTTCGTTACTCATGGGGGGAGAGAGAGGGTGGTGCAAAAATGGGGGAGGCATGTCAAATATTTTAAGCACTGGAGAGGGACTTTAGTTTTTATGTTGGCTGAGGGGAGGGGCATACACATTTTAATGTTTGTATTTTGTATTTATTTTATTGGCAATTTTTTTTAAAAAAAAAAAACATGGCTTCCAGATGCATGTTTTCTTTAATAATGGCAAAAATTAAAGGATTCATCATAGCCAAAAACTGTAAAAACAGAAATTATCATTGGATTTTCAAATTTCATGTGCAACAAACCCTCTTGTCAGACAACAAAATGAATAAAGAAAAATTCTAATTTGAGCTTGAAATACTAATATTTCATCAAAATCACTTTATTTATCCTTTAAAATTTGGCCAAAAATAAACCATTGTGCAAACTAACCAGCATGCATGACAAACGTGAATAAAAAACCAAGGCTTTTTTCAACTCCAGGAATTTGCCTTCAACTTTTAACTTTCAAATTTTAAAGGGTAAGTTTTAAAAATCTAATAGTTAACTTATGGTGGAGGAAGGGTCATGTACTTTCCAGAGAGGCTCAGGTAGAGAACAGTCCCTAACTAGTATGGACAGAGAAAGGATAAAAAATAAAAAAAATCTCTGGTCCCAGATCTTGCAAGAAAAGCCATGTTGCATGTTAATTTTCTCATTTTGGTAATAAGAGCAGAACAGCTCCAACAATCAGGGTAGCTCATAACAACAAAAGTGGTTGCAGAATGTTGCATTTTATTAAGTGTTTGACTTATAATTAAAATATTTTCATGCTTTATTTTAAGGTTGAAGTATTTCAAGTGAGTATTAAATGTTTTCGAGTAAAATGGGCCTTTTTTTCTAAGGTGACACCAGCATGTTCCTAAGCTACCAACTGCCATAAAATCGTGTGCTATGCTATCGTGTGGCACCCTGTCATATCGCAGATATATTAAGTATTTTTGTTACTTAAAAATATATATATAAAACAGTTAATGCAGTGAGTCCATGGCAGCAACAGTGGTCCATAATTAGCTATGATTGTTACACACGCACACACGTCCATTGTAGACAATATGGCACCAAGGAAACAGGCAGGAAAAGAACAGGGACAGCATGGCAGAAAAGTTGGATGATATTTTTTAATGAATAGTCAGGTTACATTAATGATTTAATTAATTAATGACTGAACTAATAAATTGCTTCAACCATTTAAAAACAAACATGACTGTCCTATTTTATCTGAACATGTCAGCAAAATGAGGTAAGGGTTCATGATGTGTTTGAACGTCCACAATTTCTACTTGGCAACATATGTTCTCTAAAGAAATATTGCAGAGATCCATAACAACTTCTTCACAACATGTCCCTAATTTCCTGACTTCACCTTCGACCTGTAACAAGCAGATGTGTAGCGCTGCCGCCGACTCTAAAAAACATGAAGCTGCTGGAAATACAGAGGCAGCAAACTAAAATATGAACATATGATGATATAAAGCAAAACCAAATACCCAACTCATGTATGATTCAGTACCAGTTGCTACCCAAAAAACTTTGTCTGCAACTACCTCTAAAAATAAGGCAAGTATTTTTCCCCTTGGGTGCTCTTCACCCCAAAAGTCAGGCCTTCAAATTAAAAATGGTCCGTAACAGTTACTGCGTATTTCGGTCTGACCTAGAAGCTTCTGGGACCTGTAGGAAACAATGTGATTGTGCAGGTTTTTATGAAAAGCTCTCTTATGCTTATGAATATTTACAATGATTAATCGCTTTTCAAAGGAGCTGCTTGAAAATTCTGAAAGAAAATAATGTTTTCCTGTTTCCTTTTTTTTTTTTTTTTTTTTT